TCTAAAGGCATACACCACCACGCCCGGCAACAAAAATATTCTTAAAAAAAAGAACAGACGAGCCGGGCATGGTGGCCCATACCTTTAATCCCAGCACGCACTCAGGAGGCAGAGGCAGGCAGATCTCTGTGAGTTCAAGGTCAGCCTGGTCTACATAGTGAGTTCCAGGACAGAAAGGGAGACCCTGTCTCAAAAAGACCAAAGGGGAAAAAAAAAAGGACACCAGGTGTGGTGGCACACATCTTTAAGCCCAGCACTCAGGGAGGCAGAGGCAAGCAGATCTCTGTGAGTTTAAGGTTATCCTAGCCTACATAGTGAGCTCCAGGTCAGCTGGGACTACAGGGAGACCCTGTCTCAAAGAATAACAACAAAAAACTTAACCCAATGTAAGTAAAAACACAATTCTGGATCAGACCAATTTGTTGATAGACCACATGTTTGCAGAAGTCAATATCCACAGCAGTTTTTGAAATACATCTTTCCTCTAAAAGAGAATTTGGGGAATCTGAAAAGGGACTCATCTATGCTTTAATTAATAATTTAACAATTTCAAATGTGCCATTGGGATAAGCCTTCATTCAAACATTTCTGTAGACAAGAGATTTAAAAATAAAAAGCAAATTTCTAAATGTGATCAATTAGAAAGTTCTCTTAGGAAGAGTTTATTAGTCTGCAGTCAGCACACAGGTCTTTCCTGTGTCAAAGTAAACAGTCTTCTGTTGCACATCCATTATTGTTTAATCAAAATCTAGATATACACACTTGGAAAAACCCAGTACACATATAAAGAAAGTCTTTACTAAGGAATATAACCTAAAAAAATTCCAAGAATATTTGTATTGGGAAGAATACTTATCAAGGTAACAAAATTCATAACAATTGTGACAATGGCTCAAATCCTAGTAAGTATCAGTATACTAATTTTCCAAAGAACCTCTACAGGTATGAAATCTTTCACCAACACCCAAAACTTGCTATTTATCAGTATACCCAAATTCAGAAAAAGCCTTGCAAGAGATTGTAGGCACAGCTTTTACTCAAAGCTCAAATCTTATTAAACATAAAGTTCATAATGGAGAGAAGCCTTACAAATCCAATTAACATGGCAGTCTTTGACTATTGCTCAACCCTTACTAGATACCAGAGAATTCAGACAGGGGACCCAAAAAATGTAAAGAATGTGATAAAGTCTTTAGCCGTGGCTCGACCCTTACTCAGCACAGGTGAATTCATACTGGAGAGAAGCCATATAAATTAAAGAATGTGATAAATCCTTTAGCTACTGGATAAGCCTTAAACAATATCACAGTGGGCTGGAGAAATGGCTCAGCAGTTAAGAGCACTGGCTGTTCTTGCAGAGGACCAGAGTTCAGCTCCCAGCACCAACATGGTGACTAATAACCATCCATAACTCCAGTTCCAGGGGATCCGATGCCCTCTTCTGACCAGGGTTCAAGCTTTACAAAACACCACAGAATATAACCTGGAGAACGCTACAAATGTTAGGAATGTGTCAAATCCTTTCATAAAAGTGTAAACGTTTTTGACATCAGAGCATTCATAGTGGAGAGAATTCTTGTGGACATAATGACTGTAGAAAAACTTTTGTCTCAAATATACATCTGAGAAAATAGAAAAACATATTAACAGGAGAAATTAATTATTTACAGATATAAGGAGTATAGAAGGCCTTCATTCATACTTCAGACTCTAAGATGATTGCTACTGGAGATAAAAGCCACAAATATAGAGAATACAGGGGAACTTTTTTTTTTAACAGTACTAGCTAGGGCCTCACATACTAGATAAGCACTCTACCATTAAGCTACATTCCTAGCCCAACAACATCTTTATTGCTTAATATTTACACGGATGGATAGATGGCTCAGCAGTTAAGAGCATTGACTTCTCTTGCAGAGGACCAAAGTTTGGTTCCTATCACCCACATGGCCTCTAACAACCATCTGTAACTCCAGTTCCAGGGTATCTAGCACCCTCTCTGGCTTCTGCAGGCATTTCATGAATGAGTGCATTCACATACATGCAGACAATACACTCATATATATAAGACTAAAAATAATTTTTTAAAAAAGATTTACTATATATTACTAGTTGATATGGAAATGTATCCTCACAGACACCAGAGAATTAATTGTGCAGGCAACTCACTTCCAAAGAAATACAATTGTCTTATATAGCCAAAGTTTCCCTATACCCTTGCTTTTAGATGCTCTCACAAAGACAATTATATCCAGGGAACAAGACTTCTCTAATCTGCATTACTGCGGAGACCAGACAGTAGATTTTTAAATGCTTTATTCAGATTATGTGCATTTTTGTTAAATAAAAGTGCCTATTTCTAATAAGCTGTTACTGCTGTGTTTTAAGTGAGGGGCCGCAGATGTTACACTTTTCCATCCCTACTCAAGTTTCTAAGTAACAAGTATTAACAATACACCCAGGTGGATGGTGAAATAACTTGACTAGCAACCATTTTCCCAGTGTTACTGCACTTCAAATTATTTGGAGACAATTATTCTCATCAATTACATCTTACTTCTTTTTGTAGGTACTGGGTCATGACAATCAGAAAAGATATTACAGGAATGTAACAAGAAGCCCTAGATTTCTGAATCTTGAATTTTACCATAAGTAAAATTTTACTTCATAATTGTTTTCACTGATCATCTTGTTGCCTACAAAACACACAAAGCTTTGGTTTTGATTTACACTAGCTGAAATATACATCATACTATTAAGCCTTAAAATCAAGGAGCAAATGCTAGAGGCAGTAATAATACTAATGTAGGAGTATCTACTGTGCCTATCCACAAAAAAGAAGGGTTATTGAAATGAAAGATAAATGAGAATAGTTGATAGCTTATTAACAAACTAGAAATCTCACATATCTGAACATTTCTCACATAGCTGAACATTTTTAGCTTGTGAACACTGAGCTTTTTTATTCTAAATAGTCTAGTCATTCTTTTAAAAATCTCCCAGTGCCAAGACAAGCGAGAAGGGACCTGGACTAGGCGGAGACACCAGTTCTCCCAGAGAAGAAAGGTTCTGTTCTGATTAGGCCATCACACCATGGATGACACTAAATCAGTGCATGCCCTAGGGTCATCAGTGTGAGCACTCCCAGGGAACGAGTTTGGACCTCCGTACCACCACTGCTGCACCATTTCCTTCCAGCCCACTCACCATGCACAGCAATTTGGCCATCTCTTGCAAAACAATCCTCAGTCCTCAGAAATCATTCCCACAATGCCATTATTTCCACAGTTACCCTTCAAAACCCACAGAAATAGCAAGAGGACTGTTGTACCACCACCTTGAAGCTCTGCATCTGCACAAGCAACTAACCATCCACCAGCCTAAACTTCTGGCCACTGGGTCATAATCTCTACTTACATGAGAAGATTCAAGCCAGACTCTAGCACCTCATGGTGTTAGCATCTGTTCCTAACCCAGAAAAGAAAGATGAAACGAGGGTTGAAACAAACTTCCTCTAGGGTGAGCACAGCCTTGTTGGCTCCTCCATTTCAGATCCCCAGACTTCAGAGCCGAGACAACACATCTGTCTGTGTTCTAGCCACCCAGGTCCTGGTACCTTGTTAGGCATACCTGGGAAAATGACAGGCACATTATGGTTCACACATCACTCTCTCCAGACCACCCCACAATCTAGTGAGAGTATCATTGCCCTTTGCAGGCCATATCTGCTGAGCTATGATCACTTTCAGGTCTGATCATCTAGTAGCTCTGGCTTCAGTTCTTTCGTTCCTTGGAACAGTGGAAGGAGGAGGACAAGGAACAGCAACAGGTGAGACTTCCTGGAGCCATTCAGTGAGCCTCCACCCTGCTGATCCTAGATCCCCAAAAGCTCAGAGATGGACAACCCCACTTGCTCACAGTTCCACCACTCTCCGCACCTCCATCCATCCACAGTTTGGAACAATCAAGATGTCCCTTTTAGTCTCAGTAGGAAAGGCACATCAGGAAGGCACAGCAAAAGGACACCCTACTTGCTCATGGTGTCTCACCAGTGTCTGCTGGGCTCAGACTGGCCCTTTAAGGGTCTGAGGATAGACCAGGCTGCTGTAACACCCCCTTATCAGGCCTGGGACAAAGTCAGAAAGGGGAGAGGGAAGGGGAGGGGCTGGTGTTAAAATATTGTATATGGATGCCTCTCCCCACAAAGGTAGAACAGAAGGAGTAAGGAGCAGCATGCTGCTTCCATCCACATGGCCTCTGTTCAACACATAACTGCCCCTGTCAGGAGTTCCATACTCAGCCAAGGGTCAACCCCAGAGCCTTTAGTTCATTTCCTCCAAATATACATGATACATCTGGCTGAGATAGGGTTTAGAAACTGAGTCTGTTGCCTGCCCAGGATAGAAGGGAGGGAAATGCCCACCTCCCTTACAGGTATCAGGCCCTACTGGACACAGGAAAAGCCACAGGCTCAGGCTTCAGGGGCTCAAGGCCCTGGGTATTTTCTGGGAAATGCAAAATACAGTAGCCACTGCTGCTGCTGCCCTCGGAGTCTTGTGGAGCTGGCCTGGTGGGGCACACAGGGGCCCAGTCCTCCTGCGGCAGGTAGGCAGATGGTTGTCCCTCAAACTCCACACACCCAGCTGGCAGCACATGCTCTGAGCTTGGGTGTCCTAGGAAACTGGAGCCTGTACCCTCCTCCTCCAGGCTGGAGAATTGCCAGGGGCATGCTGGGCTGTAGGTGAGCACTGTGATGGCCTCCCAGATGCTGGACTCTGAGCCTCCTGGTGGAGTGTTGACACCATCCTGGGTTGGTTGTAGTCCAGTTCTGTGTGCCCCTATCCAGGTCTGCAGGAGAGCAGGGGCAGAGGTAAGTCTCAGGCAGCATGCTCAGGATTTGTTCTGGGAGCAGCAGCCTCCTGAATAGACTCAGCCTTCCTCCTCCAGGAAGCTGTAACACCCACTCCCAGAGTCAGGCAGTGCCTATACGCCAAACATCCCATCTTCCTCCCGTGAGTCCCTGATTTCAGCACAAGACCCTGAGTCTCTTTGGATCTCCCCTCAGTGCCCTCCACCCGCAGCCCAAGGTCCCAGGCTCACAGCAGCATGAAATAGGTGCCAAGGACAAAGTAAGAAACATGACAGATGGTGACAGTATTAAAAACAGAACAAAACCATGACAGAATACTCTCCAGAATTGTCCAGCAGTGACAGATATGACACCTTTCTGCATGCCACTACACACACATAAAAGAGACACAATCAAAACCCTCTGGGCCAGGGCTGGAGAAATGGCTCAGTGGTTAAGAACACTGATTGTTCTTGCAGAAGACCGGGGTTTAAATCCCAGCACCCACATGGCAGCCAACAACTGTCTGCAACTCCAGTCCCAGGGGATCCAAAGCCCTCTTCTAACCTCCGTGGGCATTGCACGACACGGGTGCACTTACCTACATGCAGGCAATACACACATACACATAAAATAAAAATAATAAATAAATAATTTTTTTTAAAACCCTCTGGGCCAACAGGAGGCCTGAACCTCCCAAAGGAGGCTGCCTCTGCAATGACCAGATGCCTCCACCAAATATGTCCTATAGTCCACACCCTCCACCACTGCTGTGCCCTGGAGAACTGACCTACAGCACCAACCCAGCCCCCTTGGTAACCCTTGACACATGCCATGGTGTCTACAACAGGGATAACACAGTCCAGGGGCCATCAAGACTCTGTCCCTCTTAGCCTTTTCCTCAGCAGCCTGCACTCTTGACACTTATATTCAAGACCTTGAGAGTAGAAGAGGTCTTTATCAAAAAAAAAAAAAAAGAAAAAAACGAGGGTCAGTTGATCCTGACCCCAGAGAGGAACATGGTGTCAACAGCAGGAATGTCAAAACCACTCACGGGCATTCCACCCCAACCACCAAGGGAGCATAGTCTGCGACAGACTGCACAGATGGCAAGCATGGCCATCAGGGACACCAATGAGTCACCCAGGAGACCAGGACAGGACAGGAATTCCACAGTGGCCACTAGAGATGCTGCCCATGGTCCAAGGACTAGATAGTTCCATAGTTTGGGAGAAGGAGGAGGAGAGAGGAAGGGGTGAGACAGGATAGCCAAGCAGGCCCCCATTTGCTCCTTGAGGTGACTAGTTCCCTCAGCAGCATAGCAAAGGCAGCTGAGTCAGGAGGGTGTTTACAGTTTTCCCATCAAGAATGAAACTAGAAGTTGGGCGTGATGGCACAGGCCTTGAATAATCCCAGCACTCAGGAGGCAGAGGCAGGTGGATCTCTGTGAGATCAAGACCAGTCTGATCTACATAGTGAGTTCCACGCCAGCAGGGGGGTGGGGGGATTACAAGGAACCCTGTCTCAAAAAAAAATGGAGGAGGAGGAGGGAAGAAGGAAGGAAGGGGGGAAGAAGGGGAATGGGAAGAGGAAAAAGAGAGCAAGAGAGAGAGAGAGGGAGAAAGGAAGAAAGAAAGAAAGAAAGAAAGAAAGAAAGAAAGAAAGAAAGAAAGAAAGAAAGAAAAAGAAAGAAAGCAGGAAGGAAGGAAGGAAGGAAGGGAAAGAAAGAAAGAAAGGAAGGAAGGAAGAAAGAAAGAAAGAAAGAAAGAAAGAAAGAAAGAAAGAAAGAAAGAAAGAAAGAAAGAAAGAAAGAAAGAAGAAAATAATGGAACTGGAGACCCAGGAACAAAAGAAATTAGCAACAGAAAATACAGCAAAATGTCTGTACATTAGAGACACAGGGTACAAATTTAAACCCATTATATATACAAAAGAGGCTCAGCGCATGGACAAAAGCCTCCTTGCTTGCCTGTGCCCTGTCCAAGCCCAGACCCTGGACAATCCAGATTTGTGGGCCACATCTGCCCTCTGAAATGCCATAGCTGCCCTCTACAGTGCCCCCACTGAAGTTCCCCTGCACACACCTGGAAGTCCCCATTGTGCACACTGTAGAGGGGATGGAAGAAGGCTGCTGGGGAGGGAACATTCTGATAGAAGATTCTCTTCACCCTGAGGTCAAGAAGAAACAGTCAGGACACACAGGACCCAGTTATGAGCCTTTCCCAGTGCCCCATCCAGAAAGCCTAAGGTCATTGCCAAGACTTGAGCTCCCTTCTACCCGCAGGAACTAGCCTGCCTCATCCAGCTGTTGTGCCTTCTCCCTCTCACTACATCCAAACCTGTCTTCAAAGGGCCTGGTATAGCTACACATGCCTATCATTCCAGCTACTCAGTAAGCTGAGGCAGGAAGATCACTCAAGCCCAGTTGTTAAAGACAGAGTGGGCAATATAACAAGAACCATCAAAAAAATTAAACCTCTGGACAAATCTCAGGACAGGAGCCAATGTGTATCACTGTGGCCTCTCAGGCTAATGCCCTATGTAACTGATTTATACCACAGTCTGTGTCCTTTACAGGGTACTTCCAGTGGTGGCTTCAGACCTGAAAGTAATCAGCTGTGTCCTTAGCTCTCAGACAGAGCAAACAATTTCCAGGGATCACATCTGTGCCATGAACAGACAGCTATGGCTCCCCAGACACACACACACACACACACACACACACACACACACACACACACACATATACTAATACCTGTGTGCCCCAGGTCACTCACTCACATGCATTCATATATGTAGCTCTAGTATACTCACCCACACATGCACACACATATGCACTCTCACATGCACACCACAGGACAGTCATCCACATGTTCACACGTACTGCCATTTGTGTAATACACTCATACACTTGTCCATAATGCATTTCCATATGCAGCCCAGAACACACACATACTCGCTTACACACTTGTACACACACACCCACCTACCTGGGTGATAGCTTGAATAGAAAGTGGGTCAGGCCACTTAGCAGAAGGAAGATGGACACAGTAACAAGGGTGCTGTCTGACCACCCTGAGGGTGGGATCAGGAGGCCTGTGAGCAGGAAAGGCCCATGGCTGTTAGCAGGCTCAGTATCAAGATGTTCCCCTAAGTCTATGTGACAAAGGGACCACACATACACACACATTAGTTCTCCAAGTCAAAGCAGAAAGAGTTTAGGATGGGTCTTAGAAGTTTGTGTCATGCCACTGAAGACTCTGGGGCGATCTCATCTCTACTTTTCTCTTCCCATCTGCCATATGGCCAGTGGTCAGCACTCGGTCCATATAGTCGACCAAAGAAGACCAAGGTCTTGCCAGCCTCAGACAGAAGTACCAGACAGTGTGTAGCTCTGGTCATACTTCTTCCTAATGGTGGCCACTAGCTATAGATTCTTCACAGATCTCAGATATAAAGGAAAGGGCCCTAGGTTGGTGAAAGGGTTCTCCGGAGAAACAGGAAAGACAGAGGAGCATAGACCCAGCACAGGCTGCTGCAAAGCAGTCACCACGCCACACCTACCCTTCTGGGGAGAGGAAAAGAGCACAGATTGGCTCCACTCACTCCACTGGCCCTTAAAACATTCCTTGTCTGCCATGTCATCCTCCAGCAGAGCCATGTGAACACGCAGTCTGGCCTCGTAGGTAGAACCAGGATTCAACTCGATGGCTTCAAGCTTGAGCCAGGTCACTCCAACAATATGGTCCTTGTGCCGGGCCTGCTACAGGGTTGGGGGCATTTAACTGAGTGAAATGTCCTAAGGAATGGACACATATGCACCATCAAGCCCACTCACACACACTCATATACATCTACAGGCACATGTACACACACAAAAGCATATGTAAGCTCCCTAGTACACACTCACCCATATAAGCACAAGGCAAAGACACACTCATTAGCACTCACATCTAAACACACATGAAACACACTCACACCCTACTTTCATAGACACAACAAGCACAGGTGTGTGTGCAGCCGGCACATACATACACACCTAGCTCTGATCACTCCTCCTCACCCCCGACTCTAGCCAATCCTAGGAGAGAGAGAGACCCCAGGGAGCTACCTCAGCATTACCTCCCAGGTCTCTTTCTGTCTCTTAAAGGCCAACTCATAGTTAAGATGCGGGATCATGGGCTCCAGAAAAGGACTGATGCTCCAGGTCAGGACACAATGTTCAGAGCTGACATTGCTCTGCAAGTCAGAAGGAGGGTCCAGCTTAACTGAAACAAAGAGAGACCACATGAGGCTGCAACTGCTGTGTGTCTCTCAGCATGGCCAGAACTGGGGATCACAACATTCCCAAGGGGCATGTCAAGACCCCTTCAGACCAGAGACCTCATTGGAAGACTGAGGAAAGCCAAATGGGGAAAGGGAGGCAATGACTTTCTTGAGCTGCTACTGCAATGTAATTTCTGAATCTTGGCTTCCCTTTCCTTCACAATCTACTTCTGAGAGTTCTTACAGATGCCTTCCCGGAGTAATTCTTGCTATGACTGAAGTACGTTTCCAATAGTTCAAACTATAGTCTCTATCCCCAACTGGCCATGTCTTTTCATCCTCTGCCGGAACCCTGCCCTACAGCAGTCACACATGCCCGCCCCTCCCACTGCCCAGTCTTCTTCCAGCCCTGCATCGTGCTTGGCAGGGGTTCTCAGGACCGGAAGTCAAAGGCTGAAAGCCATAACCTCACAGCCAAGCACCAAGGCCACTGCTGACAGGGCTGCCCTGCTCACCATATCTCCACGGCATGTACTGTGAGTCCACCAGGCTGACTTGCTCCTGCCCCAAGATGTAGCGGTGGAAAGTGATGGTGAAGTTATCACTCTGCAGCAGCACTTCCTCAGGGGGCAGCACCAGGGTGCATGTATTGCCCCAAAACATGCACTTGTGCCTGATGCCAGTCACCTGGTTACTGGGAAAGCCATGTGTCAGCCCCACAAATGTTACCACCATGGGGACCCTGTCCTCTCCCCAAATAGGCATGTTCTTTCATCCTCACCTGGTGAAGAGGAGCCAGGCCCTGGAGTCCTCGGCCAACTCTGGACCAGACCAGTGGCAGTCAATCCTGAGAATACTGTTGCTGAGGCAGGTGAATGTCCCAGCCTTCAAACCTGGGGATGAGAATTATGGGAACCCAATGGTAGGAACCTCAAGGCAGAGCTGAGGTAGGCAGGGGGGATATAACTAGATAGATTCTAGGGACACTCCCAAAGGAATGTGTGCCCAAGGGAAGAGCAGGCTGAGAGGCTCTGACAATGGGTGCCCAGGCCAGGCAGACCCAAGAGCTTCGTGAGATAGGAAGATGGTGGGCCACTAGAGGGCAGATCTCAACAGTTTGGGCCCATGCTTTCCCCTGAGACTGGACAGATGACAACTTGTCCCCCACCCCTTAACTCTCTACTCACCCACCTCACCGAGACATTGTATCCAGCCCTCACCTCCTCCCTGCTCTGGGACAGAGCACCCCCAGCAGACACAGGGGCAGACACAGGTGTAGATCAGGAGCCAGATGCCCAGGGCCTGTTTCAGTGCCTCCCTTTCCAAGGTCCAACCTGCAAGAGACTAAACTGTGGGGGTCTTGCTAGGCACTCCATTGGGAGGTGTGCTCCCCATAAGACTGCCTAACAGATGCTCTCATCACATCCTGTGACCTGAACCAGGCATATTTCTCCAAGCTTTACTGATTAAATGAAGGTCAGCAGAGTCACTTGACCCAACCAAAGACTGGTGCTTTTGGGGTACAAGTTGTGCCCCCACACTCAGGGTCCTAGACCCTGAAAGCTGCATACCCACATCTACCTGCCATTCCTCTGTGACTAGGGGCCCCTCAGTGTGATGTGCTGGGCTGACTGTGGTATCTGCACTTTCTGCCTTGGTTCTGACAACTGTCATCTGAAAGGCTGACCATTCATAATACAGAAATGGAGTCACAAGGAGGGCCAGAGCCCTTCTTGGGGTCACATGGCAAGTCTCTATTCATTCTCATTCTCTCTCTCTCTCTCTCTCTCTCTCTCTCTCTCTCTCTCTCTCTGAAATAGATTCCACAAGGTTCTGCCCTAGGAACATAGGGGAGGATGGCAGCAGGTGTCCATACAACAGATAGCTCCTCCCAAACTGCCTATCATACACTGTTCCCAGCTGCTCCACAAAGGGTCAAGACCCTGAGCCCTGGTGTTCATGCGGGAGCCAGATGTGGATGAAGACCAGGTGCTAGGTTTCAGGAAGTGCCTGATTGCATGACTCTACTAAGGCCCTGTCACCCCATTTGCAGCTGCAGATGGCTCACTGATAGCCCCTAGCAGGAAGCAGGGCCAGCCTGGTTATACAAGCCTGATTAGTGATAAGGAGAGAGAAAGGAAACAGATATGTACAGAGACCACAGTACTAGTCTTCCAAGGGCCCACACATCCTCAGTAGGCAACCCTCAACACAGCAGTCTGTCCTATCCTCACAAAGAGAGACCTCTGTTAACTCTAACCCACCACTCAGCAGCCTGCCTATCTGTCTGCACCCCTAGGAACAGACTACTATGAAGGCCTCATACTCCTCTCAGATAGAGCAACCTGGGTCAACAGTGACATGAAATACAAACTGTCCAGGCAGTGTCTGGCAGTGTCCAGCAAGATGGGGATGGGACTGTCGGCCTACTCTCAGGATATGCGAGGACAGGGTCAGAGAACCTGAAGGAAGATCAGTACAGCCACCACTTCCCAGCTGAGAACTGACATAGACCCCAGGGACATGCTGCAAGTCAGCTTCACTTAGATCAAGTTAGTGCCTCCACTTTTTGTCACAGAAAACAGTGCATCTATATAAACATAGGTATGCGTTGCACACCTGTAATTCCAGTGCACAGGTGGTTGAGGCAAGATGGTTGCCTTGAATTTCAGGCCAAGCAGAGCTACAGAGCAAGACCAAAAAACAGTCGTGGGAAAGAACTCAGGACTAAACATTCCACAAGAAGCTGCAGCCAAGCCCTACTTTTCTTGTCTGTGTGTGTGCGCATGCGAGTGTGCATGCATGTATGTGTGTGTACGCACATGTATATGCATGAGAGGCTCTGATGTTCTACCACTGAGCTATATATTCCAAGCCCTCTTTTTTACTTTTTTTAAAATATTTTATTATTTTTATTTTATGTGTATGAGTGTATTGCCTGCATGTATGTGAGTGCACCCATGTCGTGCAATGCCGTGGAGGTCAGAAGAGGGCTTCAGATTCCCCTGGAACTGGAGTTAAGGATGGTTCATAGCTGCTGTGTGGGTGCTGGGAATAGAGCCCAGGTCCTCTGCAAGAGCAGTCAGTGCTCTTAACCGCTGAGCCGTCTCTCCATCACCTTTTACTTTTTTTTTAAGGATTTTTATATTTTTATGTGTATTTTGCTTTCATGAATGTAAGTGCACCACATGCATGCCTGGTGCCTGGAGAGGCCAGAAGAGGGCATTGGGTCCCCTGGAACTAGAGTTCCATACAGTTGTAAGCTGCCATGTGTGCACTGGGAACCAAACTCAGGACCTCTGCAAGAGCTGCCAGTACTCTTAACCACTGAGCCACCTCTCCAGTCCCTTTATTTTTTATTTTGAAACAGGGTCCCACTAAGTTACCCAGGCTGACCTTAAACTTGTAATCCTCCTGCCTCAAACTTCCAAGTAGCTGGGATGACAGACCTGTGCCACTAGCCTGGCTCCTGCCTTATATCTTTTTTTTTTTCTCATACTGAGAATTGAACCTAGGGCCTTGTGCATGCTAGGCATGCACATTGTCAACTGTGCTACCTCCCCAGGCCCTGCTTTACATCTTAACAGGAGGTGGGAATCCCCTATTCTTCTCCTACCCACCCACAAAGCTCACAGAAGTGGAGGAAGATGGAAGGAGGTTGCTATTTCAATGAACCTTGTCCAGCAGTGTCTTCTCTTCTCTCTGGAGGTAGAAGCAATGAAGACCTTGCTCTCCAGGAGCAGCAGGAGCATGCGACTTATAGAGGCTGTGCCGGGAAAAGATGCTAGAGATGGGAACAGAAGGCAGCTCCCCATCTGGACCACTCAGGATATGAGGGCCTCCTCTAGCACCAGGGGAAGTCTCGAGGCTACTGTGCACAGAGTACATGAAGACACTGGTGATGCCAGTGAAGTGGGGATGTGTAACAGCCAGGATAGGTCCAGCAGGCCAACTGAGTGAGGACCAAGGCCACAGACAATAAACGGGCAGAGAACCTCCCAAAGCACCTTCCCACACACTTCCTGCAGAGCATCTAGTGGAACAGATATCTGTGGCACACTTGGCTGCTGCTTCAAAGGGGTGAGGGCTTCACCCAGATGTACTGGGTATGCAAGGGAAGAAGGTAAGGATGGAGTTCTGAGTAGCAGAGAGAAGCATGGTGCCCAGGGAAGTGACCAGAGAGCTTACCTTAAGCATTCTCTGGTCTTCTGCCTGACTTCTTACCCCATCCTAAAGTGTTTGCCCAGCCTCCAGCCTATCTCCCTTGCCAGATGGGGCAGCTGGAACCAGGCTCAGCCAGCTGTCTTCCCTCAGCACCTGATCAAGAGGGCCTGGCTACAAGCAGGACTCAAGCAGATGTACTAACACTATACTCTTGGGCAGGGGAAGACTCTGTGGGTTGAGGGAAATTGCATCCAACTACTCCCACTGCCTTGGTGAGGAAGCACCTCTACTGCCCTATATGCACTTCCACTGCCTGCAGCAGCCAGTGGGCTCTACCTGCAGGCAAAGTTGACTGAGTCTGATGGGCTCCTCAAGGTCCTCATGATGTGTGCTGGGTCTCCCATACCAGCCCAATTCCTTATTAAGTGCTCCTCCCACCCCACCTACCAAAGCCACACTACCTCTGGTGATAGTATGCATGCCTTTTCACCAGGGAGGGAGCTACGGGATAGAATTCATCTCTAAGAGGCCATGCTCTGGCCAAGAGTGAGCCCAGAGCAGCATTGTTCTAAGAAGAAAATGTGGAAGTGGGGAGAGGGAGGGTCCCATCAAGACTGAAGCCCAGTACCCCAAAAGTAGAGCGAGTCATTTGCTCTCTTCACCTTCCCCATGCCTAGCTGAGCTAGGCTTCTGGAATTCCCCTTCACTCATGCTGCTCCCAGCACCTCTTCTACCATGAAGCCCTCCAAAGATCTGGGCGCTTATAAGAGAATTTACCAGTCCTGGGCCTCAGCTCTGCTCATGGCCAAGATGGCTGAATGTTTGTTTTTGCCCCAAAAATTGGTTCAATCCTTGAGGAAGTGAAGCTTCTTTCATAATTAGCAACATGATCTGGCAAACTGGGTGTCATTCCCTCTGCCAATTCAGGACATGGACGTACTGACCACAAAGCATTCTCAAACCTCACGGCCCTGGACATTGCAGTTGGTTGTTTTTATGGTTAGGTCTGCAAATCTGCCTTTTCTGAGATACATTCAAGGTCAGTATACTAGATGAGGTAAAACAAGGGTGGTTTCCCCAACGTCGCTCATCCCTCTCTACCTCCTGAAATTCGTGTTGATTTAAGAAAAGGGGAAGCCCAAAATAAAGACTCACCTTCCGAAGTGCATCTTCCTGGTGCCATAGATAGCCTCAGGCAACCCCAGCCAGGAGCTGACTTGCTGCCAATTGTCCGTGGGTACACAGCAAAGCCCCTTACCTGATCCAGGAGATAAGTGCAGCATGCAGTGACGACACAAACCTCACAGCAAGCTGACAACAGGCCACTCCCATCTGAAACCACAAGCATATCACAGAGCCACTTTCCTCTATGGAGCTGAGAGATGCCTAGCACCACCTGTGGCAAGTCAGAGAATTGTGAGGGGACACATTTTCACTCCATGATACAGCATGACCACACACAGACATAAGACATTTGTCTCCTGACAGAGAGGGTGTGAGCTGTCCTCCTAGGAAGCACCACTGAGCAGTACAGTGAGGACCTGGTCAGTCACAGAGCAGTGCTTGACCAGGTCCTTTCTATCTTCAAAGTTTCTCCCCTTCTGGATTTTTCTGAGCTACAGTGTTGGCAGCGAGGGGAGTATTAACATGAATAATAAAAACTCAGTTAAGAAAAGCAAGCAAGCAAACAAACAAACAAAATGGCTGGAGAGATGACTCAGCAGTTAAG